ATAAAAATTATAAAGTTGTAGAATACCGCTCTCATATTGCTGTCAAAACTTACTAGCATTCCCTTCTACAGCTCTCCTGTAACCACAGTTCCAACCAGGGTGTTTCACCTGTCTCTGCCTCTCTGGTTCCCATAAGCATGAGTTTGCAGCCAATAGCTAACAAATTTCTACAAACACAGGGTCTGAAATCACAGATTTGTGTTCAAGTGTCTCTTCTTACCATGTGGTAGGCAGTGAAACACAGAAAAGGGACTCTCTCCAAGTAGATAACAGAAGTCACACAGAACTGGATATAGCAAATGCAGTTAGCAGTTTTAGAACTGCCATTATTAAGAAGGAACAGAATGCTATGGGGGTGGGTAGTATTCTCAGTTTCCTCACTCTGTGAATAAAATCACTCACGGGGAATACAAGTATTAACCACCACTAGTGAGCAGGCTTGGAGAATTAAATCCAGCAAAATATACCACTCCAACAGGAAAACACTAAAAAGTCCAGAGTCACACGTACTCTCTACCTGCCCAAAACCCTTAAGAACAGTGATAATGTTAGAGTATATATTAGGAAGAAAGGCTGAGGATTAGGGCCAGAAGCAGCTTGGGTGGCTGCCAGGTGCACTTAAAAATCCTGTTCAAGGCCAAGGGCCTTGAGAAAAGTGCAGGCATCTGTGTCACCCCTGGTGGCAGTATTAACCAATTGGGCTGTAGTTAAGGTACTGTTTTTATCTATAACCAGAACTCGGTTGATAGCTGGACATGGTGGTACAAGTCTAATCCCAACACTCTGGGAGACTAATGCAGAGGATTCAAAGTTCAAGCCTAGCCTGGACTATTTAGAGACTGTCTCTAAATAAAAAATTTAAAAAGGGTAGAGAAGTAGTTCAGTGCAAATGTTCTTGGTTCAATCCCCAGTACTTTAAAAAAAAAAGGGCGGGGGGGGGGGGACATGCCAAGCTGCAAGGTTCTCATTTGGAGTCAGGTACAAAATGAACAGGCAAATGAGGCTTGTCTGCAATCAAGCAGAGGACACAAAAGGGCAAAAATCCCAATACCTTAGAGAGAAAAACTAAATAATGCCTTCATTGTAAACACGCTGCATCTTTTCTTGAGACACACAGACATTTTACTGGACTGAGAGCTCTGTATCATCACTATGAATCACTTTTCACTTGAGCTAGTAAGGATTTTTAAATCCAACAGCTTCCTTTAGAGCAGAAGAACTGGCAATAAAAAGAGCTGAAAGCCTAGGATGGTGGTGCACACCTGTAATCCCAGTTCTCAGGAGGTTGTAGCAGGATTGCCGCCAAGTTCGAGGCCAAAGTGAGTTTCACAAAGACAAAAACAAAACAAAACAAAAAAAGAGCTGAAACCAAAGCCCCCTGGATAAAATATGCTGAGTTGTGAGTGCATGCTTATAAAAAGTACAGTTCTTAGAATCTGTAAAGAGAAGCCTCAGAAAATTATGTATTACATGTACACAACACAAGTACACTGTTTCATCTCACTGCTTACCCAACACATAGCCCTTTCCAGAGCATAAGGAAGAGAGAAGACGAGAAAACATGGACTTGTGTCCCTTTCAGCAAGATAACTGGACCAGCAATAGATACATGACAAATCCAATCTGATCAGGTTAAATAAAACACGTAAAAAATTACCTAGAGGTACACTTTTAACTGACAGGTAAGCTGATCCTCAGATAAGAATAGTCAGCAACAGTCACATTGAGCAGCATTCAAAATGAAGCCTGTTTTCTTCCGCTACCTTTCGATGTTTGGAAACTGCAACAACTCTTTTATTTAAGTGCCTATTCCTTACAGTCCAGTGTAAAAAAATGGAACAGATAGTATATAGTAAAAGCATACAAATAATAGGGTGTGATGAGGTACAAGGAACAGCACACTTAACAACTCTACATAAGCTTGCACAAAAAAATACTAGATGCTAGGAATATACCTCCGTGGTAGAAAGTCTGCCTGGCATACATGAGGCCCTTGGTTTCACCCCCAGCACTGACATAACAGGCTTATTTATAAATAGAGAAAAGTTCACGACAACCCTGACATTCAAAGTTCTGTTAACTTAACCATGATATATCATACTAGCAACAGCATACAGCAACTGGAAGCTGCAGAAAAGCACAAGTATCTAGTGACCTGAACTCATGCTTCTTGACTCAGAAACCAAATAGATTCAAATAGTAAAGAATATTTGTATTTAGTTACCTAGAAAGGTGTTCATGATATATTAAGTTACAAAACAGTATATGCTGTATTTTCTTTAAAGTAACATATTTATATTTGTATATACACATAAAAGTGAGACTTTCTGTGCTGTGTTGAGTTTTTGTGACTCTTTTTTAGCAATTTTGAGAATTGGACCCAGAGTGCTCACTCTGAACTACATCCCAAGTCCCATTCTTACATCTACTTTGAGACAGGCTGAGTTGCCGAGGCTGAGTACTGTGGTTAAGCAAGCAAGCACTCAGGAATGAAAAAAACAAAAGAGAGCCTGAGGCTGCTACCTATTGCCCAGTAACATCTACCCTCTAAAATGAAAGTTTCACTATAGCCAGTCTCAATAGTAAAAGAGCAGAAACCAAGCAGTTTGTGCTGTACTCTGCTTAGAGACAGAGTAATGAAAGACATTAGGTTAACGAGGCCAACATCCAGGCTGGGCCGTACTATTTTTCAATCTCTTCTCTGCTTCCTTTCCTTACTGTAAAAGCTGTAAAGCTAAACCTCAACCTTCTGGAAGCTGAGTGGAAACTGACATTCTGGTCAAAGCAGTAAAAGCCCTCAGGTAGGGCTTTTCTTCCTCTTTTCTCCCTCACAGCTTTGGTGCAGCAGCTCTTCAAATAAAGCCAAGCAAAATGGAAAGAAAGGAAAAGCCTAGATCTTTCCCCAAATGAATCTACAGTCCCTAGCCTGCCTATCTCCAGAGTTGTTATGCCAAAAAAAACCTAAAACCTTATTTGTTAGGTTTTGTGCAACCACAGGCATTCCAGATAGTATAGAGCTCAGCACAGTGATGATCCTCTACTTTTCCTCTCCAGTACACAGAAGGGATTGAACACATCCCATTCATCACAGCTACTCTAGGCAGCTGTGATTCTCAACACGGCAGTCCCAGAATGTAGAGTGAAAAGACAGTGGATCATGGATCCCAGCGACTGCCAAACCATGTCTCTAAAGCACACATCTGTAGAACCAGTAAGGCTTTTTTTTTCCAAATGCTAAATAAGCAAAATAATTCCTATCCAAGATGCTTTCATTTAAAGTCAATTCTTTCAAATTTTATTCTAAACTGCTCAGAAATTACTGAAGTGACTCTTAACTAAGTTTTCATAGTAATCACTCTTATGAAAAAACCAGGGTATGGATCCCACAGAAATAAAAGTCAAATCTATTTAATTTATTAATCTATAAAATATGAACACTTCCAAGACAGAATAACTATTTTAGAAATTAAACAGAAACAGAAAGATTTTTCTTGTATACCATCAGTTTAGCTCTTTCGAAATTAACACAAACTCACTATTGAAAAGAAAGAAAAGTGGGCTAGGGATTTAGCTCAGTGGTATAAGCACCTGCCTGGCAAGCACAAGGTCATAAGTCTGATCCCTGGTACCAAAAAAAAAAAAAAAAAACAGAGATAAAATGTGAAAGAAGACATAAGACACTAAGATCCTTTGTAAGGTAAAGGATATTGCTCTCATATCTGTAACCTGTCTAATTCTGAGGCAGTAATCTTCTAAGATAAATCATAATATCTAAATCACCTCACAATACATGCCCATGTGCACACACAACACACCCAAACCAAGCCACCCAACCCCTGTACTGGCAGTCAAGTATATATTTATCAAAATCTACAGAAAAATCTGGGTGTTGCAGTACCCACCTGCAAATGAAGAGGCAATCAAGAGGCTGAGGCAGGAGGATTGCCACATGTTTGAGGCCAGCCTGACCTGCATAGCAAGGCCCTGTCTCAAAAAACCAAAAACCAAAACAAAACAAACAAAATCACCCCCATAAAACTCTACATAAAAATCACAATCCTGAATTAAATAACGTGAAGAGAAAAAACTATTAACTACAACGAAATACTTGGTTAAAAGCTCTTTCCAAAAGCTGTGATAGGCGTGGCCTTTATATCTGCATGTAGTGTTCACTTAAAAGTCTGAAGGAAAAAAAAAAAAAAAGAGAGAGAAAACCACTGACAATGACAATGAAATACAAGGTTAAAGAAAAGTTCCTTCCCAAACACTGTGATAGGTCTGGCATTTGTTTATATGTAGTGTTCACTGGAAAGTTTGCCAAAAATAATCACTCTTTCAAAGAGGTATTTTTATTGTTGGCCTGGTTGACAGGGTTACTTAACTGTCAATAAAATAAAGACTTCCATCCAATGCCCTAGAGCGTGATCCCAGAACCCACTATTTAACACAAAGTGCCAACACTGCAATTAAACCTGAATACTGAGGTTTCAGTTTAGAAAAAAACAACTCATCTATTAATATCTTGTCTTAAAAGAAAAACAAATGACGCACGTGCAGTAGGTTCTCCAATACCCTAAAAATTAGACAAGTTTATTCTTCTGAGACCACAGTGAAAGGTTTGATCCTGATCTAGAATGTGCTGTCTACCAAAGTGCTAGTGTACAGCTTAGTGTCAGAGAACAACTCAAAGTACTGGGCTCCCGTTAGATTCCTGTAAGACAACTACTGATGCAGTTCACTTGAAAAAGTATGATACACATTTAATTGCTATAGAATATCAATGGTCAAGTGTTTAAAAATGCCATTAGTTTCTTTGGACAAACACAACTTAAATTTTCATAAAAGAAATGAAAGTACGGGATCACGTCTTCCATAAACAAGTATTGTCAAGTTTTCAAAATGGCAGAGATATGTGTATATTCATCTCTTCAGCTTAGCTTGACAAATGCAACTTATTTACTAAAACTAAGCAAACCCAAGAAAATGTAAAACAACATTACCATACTTGGTGCCTCCAAGTTTAGGTACATTGAAGAACTTCTTATGTGAACTGTCATCTAATGTTTCAATAAGGTACTCAAAGGGATATCCTGAAAAACAAATTATACTTTCATTAAACACAGCAATAAAGCATCTTATGCAAAGGGAAAATACCTGGAAACCAGCTTTGTTCAGAATAATCCTCTTCAATGTGGGAATATTCTATATTGGCATTGTCCAATGAGGTACTTATTAGCCACATGTGGCTCCTGGTCACTTGAAATGTGGTCACAGGATTTTTTTTTTTTTGGGGGGGGGTCTTTTTGAGACAGGGTTTCACTATGAAGTTCAGGTTGGCCTGGAGCTCACTTTATAGTCCAGGTTGGCCTCAAATTCGCAATGATCCTCCAGCCTCAGTCTCCCAAGTACTGGGATTACAGGCATGCACCACCGTGCCCTACAGGAATGTAATTTTTAATTTAAGTCACATGTTGACTAACGTCCACTGTTCTGAACAATGGTGTTCTAAACCATGACTCTTACCAAAAAACTGGTCAAGATTATTCACTCCTAAACTCTGTTCAAGAAAGCCTCGAAGAGACAATAAGAATGATTTTAAACGATGGACAGGCCTTTAGAAAGACATGTTCTAAAAGTTGCATTAAGCATACACAGAACAGTGTGAGGCACAATTATGTCAGAAGAACTAATTTTAAAAAGTAATTTTTTTTTACAGCGCATTCAACAAAAATCAAAACACTTCTCAGGTAAGATCTTAACAAACTTTAAGACTGAAGACAAAATTAACAACTTTGCATATCTTTCCAGGCGACAAATCCTGTTTTTGCACCCTCGCGAGGAAAACACGTCAGAGACCTTGGGATTCTGTTTGCGTGTTCCCAATCCCTAAGGTTCTGGAAGAAAAGTGCAGGACGGCAGCCTTGAGGTTGAAAAGAACCTTTCGGGTCTTTTGTGGATTCATTTTGTTGGGGTGTGGAAGCAGGACCCTCAACAGTGTTAGGTAGGCCGTCAACTTCAGAATGGCTGTTTTTCCTTTCTGTAGGAGGCCGACAGGGGGAGGGGACATTGCAGTTGCCCAAGAGGAGCCGGCTGAGCACTGTTTGGACACTTTGCTCCTCATTCTACCTCCAGGGATGGAGGCAAGGAGGGGCTCGGGCCTGGGTTTGGGACTGGACATGGGGTAAACACAGTGCTGCGGGAGACTTGAAACAGGCAGGCCTCAGCCTTCCTCGTAGCTCTTAAATCAGGGGTGGGAAGGGAAGATCCGGGGCCCCTTAACAGGCTTGGAAGCCACCAAGCACGATCTAGGCCCTGAGACCACTAAGCAAGGTCCAGGGTTCGCGGGCCCTGAGACCACTGAGTTAGGCGGCAGCTGGCGTCGAGGAAGGCGCAGGCCCCGCCAGTAGCCGGGGCACGGAAGTACTAGGGTCTACCGGCTGATGGTCGGTAGGCCCGGCTTTCGCAGGGCCGGGCCGCCGGCAGGAGAATGAAGTGCCAGAGGCCTACAGAGCGCGTGGACAGCGTTCGGTCCCGTCGGCGGCGTCACTGACCTGCACCTGAGGCGTCCATCGCCGGAGACCATATTATCCCTACGGGGAGGGGGTGACGGGGAGGCGGGGAGGCCGGGTAGGTCTGAAGGGAAAAAGGCAGGCAGAATGGCGAGGGAAGAAGGCAGGAAGCGGTCTCGCGCAAACACCGCGAGACCTGATACGGCCCCGGGCCTGCGGTCGCGGGATTTGCCGCCTGACTCTCGCGAGATATGCAAGTTTGGAGACAAAGAAAGAGAAGGGGCGGAGCTAACCCGTAGGCGACGTTTCTCGTGACCTCCGGTATTATCGCGAGAGGGGATGGGGCTCTAGGAGAGGACAGTTTTGGCTTGTTTTTGTCTTTTTGAGACATGGTCTCTTTATGCAGTGCAAGCTGGTCTTAAATTAAGCTCGCTTTGCAGCCCAGGCTGGTCTCGAACTCGCCTCCCGAGTAGTGGGATTACAGGCGTGAGCCACCACGTACTACTAGTTTTGGCTTTTTTCCGCTTGCTGTGTGAGGGATGTTTTCGAATTCTTAATCTGCGGTTTTGAGGTCCTGCCCTCTGGCTTTCCTTGGGCTGTTCTCAGGAGCATGGTCAGAACTGGAAACAGCTCAAGGCTACTCGCTTCCTCTAACGCTAAAGCCTCATGTTGGCCTGGGTCGCCCGGGCACAGGTTGGCCACCCGACTTGTTTTGTGTTTTTGAAATAGGGTCTCACTATGCAGTTCAGGCTGGCCTGGAACTCACTTTGTAGCCAAGGGTGGCCTCAGACTTGGTAGTAATTAATCTTCCTGTCTCAGCCTCCCCAGTGCTCGGATTACAGGCATACACCACTCTGACTCAGGATTTGAACTTTATTCAAGTGGGTGCGCAAGTCGAAATGTCTTAACTTAGATTTTCATGGTCGAGCAAACATACATGCTGTTGTTTCCTTACACACTGAACTTTCAGGTGGAATGACCCCTTTCACCTCTGGAACATCTCTTCTGGTTTTTTGTTGGAACACTCCACTGTACACTTTAAGGCTAACTCCTCTTCGCTCTCCTGGTCCCACTCCATGTATTCATTTCCTTTAGGAAATCTTCACTGACCAGTCTCCAGTTCTGGACAGGGAATGTGATGAAATGCTCCCCTAGTATCTTACATTTTAATAAAATCATTTTATTATTCTTGGTTGTAATTGCCCAGTTACATTTGTTACATAATTACGTAGGTCTGTAATTAACTTATCTACCAAATTCCCTAGTAGATAGAGTCCGTGTGAAAAATGAACCATGTTATCAAAGACCCATGCTTATTCTTCATTTTGTCCTGTGCTCCCCAGCAGCTCTTGTTCCTCAGACCTGCTGGCAAGATGACTGCAGCAAAATGTCATCCTGCAACTACCAAAAGTAGGAGGGAAAAGGATGCCCAACACTTCTCTCTTATCAGAGAAGAAAATATTTTCCCAGAGATCCTGAGCAGATTTCTCACCCACCAGAAATTACATGTTGTTTTCCATCCTATCAAACTAACATCCGTTCTTTAAGAAAAATTTGTAACGTCCTCTTTACTATCTTGATGGGAAACTCATAGATAATCTGGACATAACCAAAAAACAAGCTGAAAGGATTTTGCCCTAGATAGGATACTTCTTCGGCAGTGGGAGGCGGGACCACAGGATGTTTACCTTGAGGTCACTTTCCCTTTCCCCTATGACAACTTACCTGTGATGGGAAAAAAAGTCCCAATCAGCTGCTTGTGCATCGGTAATGCCTCCCTTAGCACCACCCCAGTCAGAAACTATATGTGTGTCCCCACCCCACGTTTCTAGCAGAGAAAGCCAGGCCTCAACGGTCATGGAGTTCTCTCCACGTTCTTAGAATAAAGACCACTTTTTACTTTATATTTTCCCTTTAACGCGCCGAAAACCCTATCACAATCGATTTAATGTCCTAAAAGGAAAATAATATATTAGAAAATGGCAACAGGAGGTCCATATTAGATGACATAATTGGAGTTATCAAATACTTGCATCTGCTTCTCCTGCATGAGTAGATTTATGGAATATAAGATAATATTCAATCTAAAGTGGTCAACATTTTTGTTTAATATTTTAACGTGAAGACTAAATATGTAAAATATAGCATGTACAAATAAATGTAAATACATATTACTTAATAAATACACATGTATAAAATGTATGTACATTCAAACCAAGTGCCATGGAGGCTAATAAAAATGTGTTGGCTCGAATATTGGAAGTGTTTTAATTATTCATGGGGTTTTCTGAAATGGTGAATAAAATTCATCATTTAAACTATTTTGTGATAATGGTAGATTTGCATGCAGTTGTATAAAGTATTAGAGCTCTGTATATTCATCACTCAAACTTCCTCTATGTAAGTGGTACAATATCCAAATGAGCAAACTGACACTGATGGAAATCTTTTTGCCTTAGAGTTTGGCAGTTTTACATGCACTCTTGTAGTGTATATTTAGTTTGCGTGTATAGATTTGTGTGACCAACATGTGGATATTTAGTTTGCATGTGACCAACATAGCAACATAGCAAGATCTGAAACATTTCCAAGGTCCCTTGTAATTAATAAACTACTTTTTTCCTAGGTTGCCAATTCCTCATGCTTTACCTATCCTCCCAACCACCAATCCCTTGTCTGTTTGGAACTGGATGTAGATAGAATGATACAGTAATTTTCATAACACATTTTTTTCCTAGTTATATTTTCCAATGAGGTTTTTAGTCTTCCAGTGAGATTTTCGCACCTCTTTAGATCAGTGTCCTGCTCAGTGCCTGGGCTGGTTTATGAGTTTTTTTTTTTTTTCTTTAAATGAACTTTCTATTTTGGAAAAAAATTAAACATATAGGAAAGTTGCAAGATAATCATGTGAGTGTGTATATGTGTGTGTGTTACAAGGACTGAAACCAGGGTCTTCACGATGAGCTTATATCCCTAACCCTTTTATAATTTTGTATTATTTATTTTAAGACAGGGTTTCACTAAGGCACTAGATTGCCTGAGATGGGTTGGAATTTGAGATCTTCCTGCCTCAGACTCTTAAGAGAGCTGGAATTACAGCCACAGTCCCCAGCTTATCATCTTTCTTATATATTTCACCGAGGTTTATTTAACATTAACATTTTGCTACATTTGCTCTAATAATCTCTCTATATTAAATATAGCATAATAAGGTCCTAGTTCTTGTTCTAGTTTTTTTTTCTAAATCATTTCCTGGGTACATTTCAGAGATTATGACCCCATAGCTCTATATACTTTTCTGAAAATCTGATAGCAAGGACAGATTTTCACATAACCACAATACAATGATCAAACTCAGGAAACATACTTTTCGATACGATATAATTCAATTTTTATTCAAATTTTATGAATTTGAATTGCTAGAAATAATATACAACCAAACATTTATGCACTTTACAATCTTATATTCAGATTTTGTCAATAGTTCCAGTATTTTATTTTCTAGGAACTTTTTTTTGCAGCCGAGAATCGAATCCAGGAAAACACTGCATTTAGATGAAACAGTTCCATAGTAATAGTAACTATTTTAGTACTGGGGATTGAACCCACATGCTAAGTAAGTGCTCTGTCACTGTACTATACCTCAGCCCTGTATGAGATAGAGTCTTACTAATTTGCCTAGGCTGGCCTCAAACTTATGACCCTCCTGCCTCGCCTCAGCTTTCCAAAGAACCAGGGTTACAGGCATATACCAATACACTTGGATGACACTGATAATTTTGAAGCATACTGGTGATTTTTTTAATGCAAGATGTCCTTGAATTTTGCTTGCCTGATTGTTTCTTCGTGATTAAGTTTAGGTATGCATTTTTGGCAGGAATGCTATCTAAGAAATGCCTTCTTTTAGTGCCTCATATTGGAAGGCACCTGATTTCATATAGCTCCGTTTTTGGTGATTAGGTTATCATTTAGCCTGTAAATAGAGCAGGGTTTTAAATCCAGGTCCATGGGACTCTAGTGTCCTGTTTTAGCCATCCACAACTCTGTGACTAGACATAGTCTCAGGTATTGCGGTGAATGTACCTGGAATCTCCAATGGCCTTGGGAAATCTTAATCTGACCAATAGCCCAGTAGCTAAGCCTTGAGGACTGCCGTGTTCAGCCAAGATGTGTTTTATTTATTTATTTATTTTTTAATTTTTATTTAAGGAGAAAAGAAAAGAAAGAAAAAAAAAACAGTGAAGGGGTACAAGTTATACAGATTTACAGAATAAAAAAATGCGCAGTAGGAAATCACTAGTTAATGGATTACATATTGCCATCTTAGAAATAATTGTTCAAGTCACAAAATTAAAGCTTGTAGAGTGGCCATTCCAACAATGATACTGCAGACAGTTCTGTTCAATGATCCAATAAAACTCTGTGATATCATTTTCTATCTTATACATTTAAATATACATGCAGTTATATAGTTTAGAGCACTTTCTTTTCCTATCTTTTGTACAGTGACTATTACTCATTTTGGGTTTCATTGCTCCCACGGTTCTTGTTGCTTTTTTGGAAGAGAGTAAAACCAAATGTGACATAACAGAACAGAATCGGTCAAGTCAAAAGGGTGGACATAATAGATAATATAAAAACATAATACAAGGTGATCAACAATGGTTACCATAATGCCTCCCGCTATTTCTAATAGAATTGCCTATATCATTAGTTGTAATACAATTGAACAAAACCGTAAAGAATAAAACCGACAAAACCAAAACATTGGAGATATTGTAGGTCTTCAAAAGTAGATAAAAGTCAACGAGAATGGGCGTTATAATGAATCTCATTATCTTCTCAGCTGATGCCTAAACTTTCGAACCTGATACTATCCAGCAAAACAGAATAGAGGAACCTCAGTCAAAAACAAGATGGTGAGAGTAACACAGGGCTTCAAATCGAGATAATAGAAAGTCAAAGTGGGTTACTATATTATATCCTGCTATATTTTTCCCTTTAATTAAATGGATAAAAATAAAAAAGTAAATAATGGAGTGGAGATTGAGAAAAAAGAGGGCATAACAGCGAAACAGGGCAGATCAAAACATAACCATTTAAGCAGAATAGTGTTTCACCACCAGATAATCCTGACCCAAAAATAGTTACCGTATTGACTCCCTCCCTGAAGTCCTTGAGTACAACTTCATATACTGTAG